GCCAGAGTAGCCAAAAAATGGTCAAGAAGCAACCCAAGAGGGACCAAAGGAAGTGCTCTACTCTTCCCTTGGGATGGGGACCAAGTGGGGAAAAAATAGAAATGACGGGAGGGGAATGGCAGCCCTTTACCAAACCATAACTCAAGCAGGCTATCATAGGAAAAGAAAGGGAAAAATTAGGCACTGCCTATATGTCTCACCCAGACACACTGCAAAAGCAGGCCTGTATTTTAAGAAAGGAGGTAAACATGGACCTAATGGAAATAACCTGTTTAGTAATTGAAAGAAGTTTAAGATGGTGTTGGAAAAACAATTGGGTCAATGTGGGCAAGATCTCTGGAAAAGACTGAAGTTATGACTAAGATCAAAGGCACCATGTATAGTAAAAAAAATCACATCTGGCTATATGGCTCTGGCAAGTAATTTCAATCCTATGTGTTCAGATTTCCAGTTACAAAAGTGGCAAAATAATAATGCCAACCTAATGGGCTGTTGTGGGAATTACAGAATAGACAGATCTATGCATATGCATGTAGGTGTGTATAAACATAAGCATTGTAGTCACATTCATATTCCACCTGCATAAAGCATTTCATTAAACCAGAAATGACCAAATGCTTCTGGGGGTGAGAAGCACCAGGAGGACTGTTAGAACACAGCTTGGACAAAGGTTCTGCCTCAGTAGGTTTGGCAACATGCTTCCACCATTTTAATAAGGTCATAATGATATTCATGTTGCTGGTTCAGGTAGAGCCCTTCAGTAACCCATGTATTAGATTATAGCCCATATATTAGGTGGTATGCTGAAAATGAATAAGGGTTATGCCTGTCTTTTCTTCAGTGCCATCCTAGCAAGCAAGCGATTCCAGAGATTTATGAACAAACGCATGTCATACAATGACCCCCACTGTCCTTATGCCACACTGGAATTTGCTAGCTGATCTCTAAAGTCTCTGCCACCACACTGCAGAGCCAGATCCCTTGGGCAAGGGAAAGATATACTCAGAGCCAGGCCCTGGATGCATGGCTCCCAGGTGTCTCTGCAGCTGTGAGGTCTGTGGGGTCACATTCTGTGAGGAGGGAAGATTTAGTCACACCTTCCAGGGACCAGACCAGAGCCTTCCCCTTTCATCCTCCTCCTCAGTGGAGCCTCTTCATCCTTTACAGAGTGCTGTGGCCTCAGGGCACCAACTCCCTCTGAGGAGGGGCCTGTCCTCTAGAATACTCATCCTTCAAAGACACGTGCATGTAGCACTCACTTATCTGCAAGGAGTTGTGGGAGGCATTTGTCTCTGCTGCTCTCAACCCCCACCTCATGCTGCTAAACCCACCATCCCTGATGGACACCAACAGCATTGAGGGATTCAGTCAAGCTCAGATGCTTCTTTTACTATACCTTCAAAAAATGGCAAATAATTTAGTTCTGAAAGAATAAAATATATCCTTAAAGAGCTTCCAGATGTACCCTTCTTCCCTTATTTGGTTCCAGAGATAAAGAGCTAGGGCTCTGACTGTGGCCCCAGGGCTTGGTCACCTGCCCAATCCAGGCTTGAAGACCTGTACTCCTAGCTTGGGGAGCAAGAGTTATAGTCCCGGCTTCCTGTTTCCAACAGAGGACAGGAACACCAAGGGCTGATAGAAAGCCTATAAGGCAACCCACTTGGTCCAGGCTAAGGAAAGCTCAGACAGTTAGGTACAATAGACCAAGAAGAGTCATAAATTAAAACAAAAACTCGTACTATCTCATACCTATTAGGATAGCTTTAACAAAAAATCAGGAAATAAGTTAGCAAGGAGGAAATCAGGAAATAATCAGCAATCAGGAAATAAGTTAGCACCTAATATATAAGACGTGCACTATTGGTGAAATTTTTAGTAAAGTCATGTAGCTATTATAGAAAACAGGATGGTGGTTCCTCAAAAAATTAATTAATGGTGGTTGAGAACCTAAGTAAAGGAGATTTATCGGAAGGCAGAGACCAACAAGGCCACTATTAGTTCTGAAGTACAGGAAGAAGGTTATCTGGTAAAAGTCCTGGTCCCTGAAAGCACAACAGATGACCCCCTAGGTACCACACTTTGTTTCACTGTAGAAAAAGAGGCAGATATAGCAGCATTCCTCAAAAAATTCCAAAAAAATTAAAAATAGAATTAACGCATGACCTACTATTTCCATTTCTATATATCTACCCACCAGAAGTGAAATCATGGGCTGCTCTTGGAGAAGTCACCTGGGAGACTGTGGAGGTTTAGGAAGTGGGATTCAGTGACACTACGTTGTGCATCTGTGCGCAGTGGGCCCAGAGTGTAGTCCCAGAGACAGGATTCGGCGCTCAGTGGACAGCCTTTCAGGACAGACCGGCAGCTATTTGTGAGAGCCTCAGGACTGGCCATGCGCTGCCTCCTTCCAACAGCAGGACTTCAGGCTATATGGGTCCAGGCAGCTGAGGCTCTGGTGCCACTCCTCAGAGCCACTTACTGCTGGAGTTTTTGAGATGCCAGGCCTCTGCATAGGAATGTTGTGTTACCTTCTCTTTCTCTCACAATGAAGGAGGGTACTAGAGCCCTCTGGAAAAAGAAGGAAGGGGGGAAAATCAATGGGGGAGGGGTGATCTAATTGCAATTTTAATCTAGTTAAAATTGATGAAGACACTGTTGCATTTGAGAGCCTGGAGGGGTGATACGGCAAAAAGACTTGTTGCTGAAGGTACAAGAGATTTTCCAATTGGAGCCATTGTTTGTATCCCAGTTAGAAAGCTGGAGAATGCTGAGGTCTTTAAACATTGCAGTTGAATTCCTCTGCAGCAGCCACCCCACAAGCAGCCCCAGCACCAACCTCCACTGCTGTTGCTTCACCAACTGCACTTCTTCTCAGGCTCCTGGACTCATAGCCTACTCACATGCAAGTATTTCCTCCTGCCCTCTCTCCTATCATGACCATGGGCACAGTTCAGAGATGGGGAAAAAAGTGGTTGAGAACCTAAGTAAAGGAGATTTATCGGAAGGCAGAGACCAACAAGGCCAATATTAGTTCTGAAGTACAGGAAGAAGGTTATCTGGTAAAAGTCCTGGTCCCTGAAAGTGCAACAGATGACCCCCTAGGTACCACACTTTGTATCACTGTAGAAAAAGAGGCAGATATAGCAGCATTTGCTGACTACAGGCCAACCGAAGTACCGTAACTGATTTTAAGCCAAGTACTTCTAGTGAAGGGACATGTGCTAACCTGGTGTTAAGTACTTCCACCAGGAGACATAGGACTGGCAGAGTTGTGCTTCCCTAGAGACAAGGACTAAAAGTAACCTTGGTGGAACTTTGTGATTCAAAATTTAATTGCCTAAAATTTCTTACACGAGAATCAGGAAAATTACTTTTATTAGGGGAAAGGTTTGAGCTGAAGTTTTATTTTTTGTTAACCATGTTGTAAGTTTTTTTGTTACAAGATTTGGTCTTGGTTTATCATACATGGAGAGGGTAGAGAATTTCAAGGGAAAAAAATGACATTTAAGAAGTCAAAGTTTTCTTAGATGTCTTCAGACATTCATTTTTCTATGAATCTTTAAATGAAATTATTGCTTTCCCCTCTTGGTAAAGATATAAACCAGTTGCTTGGTACACATGAGAATTTATATGGGTATTTAGGCAACTTAAATGTGTAATTCTGAGAGGAGAATTTTACAGTTATCTCCAAATAAAAGCACATGGTTGTAAAATTTAACAGAATTTAAGATTTGTGACAGTAGAATTTTCCTTTAAGATAGTTAATTATAAATAAATTTAGTTACCAGAACTTGTTACCCAAATAACTGGAAAGCTCTAAGAAATAAACATGGACTATGTGCATATATGTGAAATACAGTTACTAGAGCTTGTATGTGCCAATATCCATCTATCACCAAGTCCTGTCTTAAAAAAAAGAACAGGAAAAGGGGTATATTTGTGAATGGTTTAGAATGTTAAAGCATGATGCCCTAGCTAGCAGTGCCTGTATTCCAAGCTGCTCGAGAAGCTGAGACTGGAGGGTCACTTTAGCCCTAGAATTTGAGGCCAATCTGGGCCATAGAGTGAGATCTCAATAAATTAATTAATTAATTAATTAATAAGCAAAGCAAATTATGCCCTAAGTGGTGATTTCTGCTTGCAGAAAGTAAAAAAAAGATAAATATAATTTAAAAAGTGTTCTTTTTTCTACCCCAACACTGGCTCATGTGAAAAAGATAGCCATAAAGTCCTGGTGGAGAGAAAAAGTAACATTAGGTGGCTAGCTCATCAACTTAAATACTTTCGAAATTTTACTGTGTTTTACCTTTCTCTTGGTAGAAAAGAGGATGTGATATATAGGGATGTGAATATATAGGGATGTGATATATAGGATGTGAATTGGGAACTTCACCACTATTCCAAACTTTCTATTGAATTGATATGTTTTAATAAGTATTTGTAATTATTCATGACTATTTAAAATAAACCTGACCAGTGCTTCCCTCTACATATAATATGTGGAGCTAAGGCTTGAGATTTGCTTTGTTTCATTGTTGAATCATTTCTCAGTGTTCATCATTACATAGTGCACAAGGGACACTCCATATTTTCCACAAACATTCACTTTCTCTGTTATTATAAAAATAATTCAATACATTAATCTGACTTTTCAGGAATTAGTAATGTTGGGTTGAATTGAACATTCAGTAAAAACAGTAAGTGTGTTATAAGGGACCATCATCAATCTGGGACAGATGTGCTTCCAAAAGACAAAACTTCAAAAATAATTAATAATTTTCTGGTGTTTGTGGCTCTATTTGTTCCCTTAAAAGAAAAATGAAAAGTTGCCATCAAGTAAAAATTGTTCTGAGTTAAAAATTAATCTTAGCTATACTGAAATCTAAATTTGGAGTCAGTATATTTCATACCAGAACTGAATGTAGAAAGTGGTTTTGTTTAAGAGTATTTAAAATTAAACTTTGTTTAAAAAAAGGAATAAAATAATGGCCTCAGAGAAGTATTTATGAAATCTTGTTTATTCCAGCATATTAAGTGTAGCCTAAAGGAACTTAATTCCACCGAACAGCATACTTAAAAATGGCTAAATTGATAAACTTTAGATTACATGCATTTTTATCACAAATTAAAATAAACCTCAGCATCAGTCAGGAAGATGTAAAAAGCTACTCAGAGTCCAGGCTGTGAGCGCATCATGATCTTTACTGTTATCTGGCCTCCTGTTGTCTCAGTGGCTACCGTTGCCCATCAAATACAACATGGCTCAAGATGCCAAATCCCAAGTCTCGGTAAAGTTGCCTGCTCCGAGACAGGCACAGAAGCTCAATAATATTCTGACTCCGCTTGGAAGGGAGTTTACAATCTACTTGGCAAATAAGACAGACCACCTGAAAGGGAAATAACAGTTCAAGAGACATTCCAAAGTAGTGGCCTCCTGGATGGAGTGACCGAAGCTATGAATTTTAGGAAGTCAGTATAGGCTGCTATGAGTAGGAACAGGCAAAGAAGCCTGCAAGGAAGAGGAATTGAAAAATAATTGGACTGCAGATGCAGGGCAACAGAAGAAAAATGGTCCAGGCAGAGGAAGAGAGAGTGGGTACGGGCTTAGCGGCAAGGACACCTAGAAATGTTCAAGATGCACCTGGCGGCCAGGCTGGTCAGGCTAGAATTAAAGATGTAAAAAGGGGAAAGCCCCAGATAAAAGACTGGAGAGGTGTCTGAGGACCAGGTGTGAAACTTGAAATGGCATGCAAAGGAGACTGGAGGAAAGAAGCCCCTAAACATTTTTGGCGAGAAGCAAACAAGAACACATTGGAAACTGTGGCTGCTGGAATAAAAGGAAAGAACGGTATTTCCAGAGCACCAGGCAGGGCTATCTCAGCCACATTTCTTCAAAAGTAGGCACTCTTTGTTCCAACGCAAGCCCCACCTTTCACTCCAGCGCCCGTGTTTCCCTGGTCTCCACAACCACCTAGACCTTGAGGTTCTGGAAACACCTCTCCAGATCCACAGCCAGCGCCACTCTCCTGCCCCTGGCTGTAATTACATGGGCCACAGCTGGAACCCTCTGTGTCGAGGCAGCGTGGACTGGACTCATGACAGCCAGCATCTGGGGGGAATGGAGTTGGATTTGGGTTTAGGCAGGGGCTGGGACAGCGAATAGGCTCCCCACATGGCTCTGGGCTTGAGCATGGAGCTGGAAGGGGAACCGGCTCTGCATACTCCCTAGGCTCCGGGCATGGATATGGGTCCTCACATTGCTGTCGGCGAGGTCTTGGAGTTGGGCATGGAGCTACACTTGGAGCTGGACGTGGTACTGGACGGGGTTCCGGACACAAACGAGGTTCTGAAAATTGCCTTTGAGGAGGGCATGGGCGAGGCTCCGGATTTATCCGTGGTTCTGGGCGAGGACACAGACGCGGAGCAGGAAGCGGGCATCGTGGTTGGGATGGCTCTGGACATCGGCCACGGCGAGGCGGCGAGCAGGACCTTGGGAGGGGACGTGGCTCTACACGTGGCCTCGCCTCTGGGCAGCAGGATGGTCGTGGAGCGCAGCTCCGGGAGCGTCCTCTGATGGGGGGGATCTGGACAGGACATCTCTGTGGTGGAACCTGCCTGGGACAGCACGGGGATGAAATCTCTATCCGGCACTTGGGTCCACATCTCTGGGAGCAGCCTGCACTGGAGCGCGGAGAACTGTGGCTGTGGTAGATGGGCTCGGAGCGGCGGGGTGGAGTGCAGTAATTGTAGGAACCAGGAGAACATCTTGATGGCAGGCTGCTGCTGTAGCAGGGGTCAAAACGTCGTGGTGGGGAGCAGCTGCTGTAAGAAGGTTCCAGCCGACGAGAAGGGAGGCATCGGCTGGTGCTCTGAGACCGACGCTGCCCACTGAAGCTCCCATAGGAGCCCTGGGCCTGGCACTGAGGTGCACAAGTGCTAAACGAAGCCGGGGACTGACGCTGCGGGGCGCAGCTGCTGTAGGAAGCCTGGGACTGACGCTGCGGGGCGCAGTTGCTGTAGGAGGTTCCCGAGTAAAACTGCCGGGCGCAGCTGTTGTAGGAAGCCTGGGACTGGCGCTGGGGGGCGCAGCCGCTGTAGGAGGCCCCTGAGTATAACTGCGGGGCACAGCTGGTGTAGGAACCCTGGGACTGACGCTGGGGGACACAGCCGCCACCGTAGGAGCCTTGATACTGATACTGGGTGGAGAAGCTTCCCTGAGCCTGGGACACTGGGGAACATTCTACATAAGTAGTGACAGGTTGAGGAGCTAGAACGGGTACATAGGTCTGGACAGGATATTTCACATAACAAGTTTCTGTATAATAAACTGGAGCACATTCTACATAGGAAGTCTGAGCAGGGCCTGGGACTTGGTATTGCACGTAGGAAACCCCAGACTGGCCTGGAGCCTGGCACTGGACACAGGAAACTTGAGTCTGGCTCGGAGCCTGGCACTCCACCTGGGTCGTCTTGGACTGGGAGGGGGCCTGGCCCTTCCCCTGTGTGGTTTTAGTCTTGCTGGGAGCCTGGCACTTCACCTGAGTGGTCTTAGACTTGCATGGAGCCTGGCACTCCACCTGGGTGGTCTGGGACTGGCAGGGAGCCTGGGCAACTTGAACTTGGCATGGTACAGGGCACCCTAAAATTTGCATCCCACAAGGAGCTGGGACTACCACCTGGCTGTCGGCACCGGAGAACTGGGAGGGACCCAAGGAGGAACCCTTGACGCAGCACTGGGGGAGCGGCAGGCAATACTGAATTTGCTGCTGGTCACACATGGTCCTGATGCAGGTGGGTGAGTGGGACCTGAGGGTGAGAAGAACCAGTAATTACGACAAGATGCCTCGTCTTCCATGACCTTTCTTTTTCTCCCCTCAATCTTCACTTACGAATCTTTACTGACAGCTGGACCAAGGATCAGGCACTCCCATTCATGAGACCTGCACAGTTGTGCACAACCAGGACTAGGGGGGGACTTGCACTCTCCCCCGAGGGTGGATTTACCGGTGTGAAGCACCAGAGGGTGCTGGTGACAAGTCTATACAGTGCTCCCTCACTCCCTCAAGTCCTGTCATGGAAAGGGCCCTCCCTACAGGGAGTATCCACACTTGAGCCCAGAATGAGGACTCGACACTCGTGGGAGGTAGGATTTTCCTCACACTCGCATACTGGCGGCATATATGCATGTGCACACATGCAAAAATGAACACATCGGAACAAGCACTCAGGCAGCGCCTATGCCCAAGTAATGTCAAAGAATTCATCGGACAGTAAGGAATCCAGTCAGTTGTCGGGCAAGTCAAGCCCAGCATTAAAGTTTTGTTCCTCCATATTTAGCCTCTTCTGTGTGAATCCACTTAAAGAGGCCCTTGTGGATATATGCAAAGTCATGCACACACAAAACATACCAGCCTTGAATAGACTCAGGATCAACATGGCCACTTGCCCAGAAAAGTTGGTGTAATTAATCATCTGGAATGTGGCAATCGGCTGGCTTCAAAAATGTTTACTCCTTAACTCCTCTGAGAGACAGGAGAGGAACAGAATTACCTAAAATGGAGTAACTCAAAAAGTACAGTAAAAAGTGGAGAAAGTATAAGGTCTTTTTTTCTTTTTCTTTCTTTTTTTCTCCTTTTTTTTTTTCTTTTAAGACAAGTTCTTGCTATGTGGTTGTATAGCCCAGACTGGCCTCAACCTCACAGTCCCTGAGTGTTGGATGATAGGCATGTATTTCCACACCCAATTTAAGTGCAAGATTCTCAATCACAAGACTGATGTGGAGCCACTCTTAACGATCTACTGAGCAGGAGCACTACAAACAGGACCTGAGGCAGACATGTACTCCAGGGCCACATTTAGCCAGGCAGAAGGCAGGGCAGCACCTACTCCTCTGCTCTCCCCGAATCCACCTGCTGGTGTTCAAGCAGCCCAGCGACTGGCACAGCAGGGAACTGACTGACAATTCTCATCCAATGAAACATCTCTCCATAAGTTCCCCCCACACTGTGAATTCTCATAATGAAGGACAAAGCTGCATGATTTCCATTTGTCTACATACATGTTCCCTTGAGAAGGTAATCCTTCCTCATATAACCTTGCTCGCAAGATATAAATGATTAATATGCCTTTTCCAAGGGGAGCAGGTCCTGATGAGGGAAAATGCTTCCTGAGGATGAAGCCGGGTTATCAAAGACAAACACACTGACTCCACAGCCCTATCTCTTCTTATGAACTCTACAGATTTTCTTCTTATATCCCCCAAAGTCATCAGATGTTCTTCAAAGGCTGATGCACAGTTCCTCTGCCCTCAGCTTCCGACCCCAATACCCCTCACCTCTGTGAATCCACCAAACATCACCCCCACCCCAATCCCAGAACCCAGTGTCTACACTCACCCTCCTCAGCAGGCACGAAGTCATTCAGGCTGAGGCCCTGGGCAGAGGGCTGTCTTTATATAAAGTATTCTGGGTCTGGCTTAGACATGAGACAGCTGGTTGGCATCTGCTTGGCTCATCACCCACACTGGCATTCCAAAAGCTAGTTCCTCCCTGAGTACCTGTCGTCCTTGCAGTCACCTACAGAGTTGGGCGTGTCTGCCTCAGTGTCAAAGTTTCCAGACTATGAAGGACCAGATTCTTTTTTTTCCTTCTTCTTCACCCAACCAGTATCTTGTCTTTCCCTGATCTGGTGGTGAGGCTGATAAGAACCGTAAAGGTATCTTCTCACCTGAAAGATGATTCTATCCTCTGCCTTCATCCTTGCCCCAGAATCTCACAAAAGAGGTAAAAGAGGAAGTATTCCTTAACCTAGTAGAATTAAAAGTCCCTCCACGATAGAGACAGCTTTATGGAATGAAGAAAACCTGGAGTCAGAGCTGAGTCTAATGGCCCAGGTTGGCTACTTACAGCTGCGTGACCTTTATAATCAATCTAAGATGCATTCACTCTCCTGGAAAATAGATGTAATTGAATGTCTTCTTCTGATTGTTGTGAAAATTCAGGCAATTATTTTATACAAAATCATCTAGCCAAGAATGATATCCAAAATATCCAACATCCAGTCAGTAACTGCTGACTGTGAACAAGGGACACAGCTGGATCAGAGGGCCTCTGCTACACCCCACTCCTAAGCTGATCAACATGAGACATTCACTAATGTGGCCAAGCAGTCTCGGAGGCAGCACACTTCAGCCAGTTCTATGGAGAGGGCTTTGAAGACAACACAACACAGAACAGATAGAATAAACTGCTGCCCTGTGGGCCAGGTACAGGTGAGATGAATATCTTCTGTTCTGTTTGCAGAATATTATATTGATCATGAACCTTTAGAAACAGAGAAATTTTACTTCAGATTCCAGACATCCAGCTTTTCTTCTAAAATCCAAAGATCTAGCGTAGGTGAACCAGCCTCCTATCAATCCATTTGGGAACTGCCATCCATGGAGAGAGATCATACTCTTTTCCATTCTACCAAATTTCATCATTCTCTCTCCTATATCTATGATGCAATTCAAAATGCACGTTTCTGTGATCTTGAAAAGAAAGTTTTTATTAATAAGTTTTAAATAACCAATGATAGTTTATTAGTAGATATTTGTAGGACATGATGTTTATACTAATCTTAGGGAGTAGGTACATGGACTTAACATTTTGATTCTTTTTATTTTCCTTCCTCTCCTGCCCTCCCACTTCCCTCCATCTGTAGATGCCCTGCCCCATTTTCTTCCATTCCTTCTTCTTCGGTTCTCACACATAATGATTATATTCCTTGTGGGTCACTGGTATGAATATGACACATCTTAAATCCACTTAAAAGGATAAATGAATAATTATAGTTTTTAGTAATCCTGGTTGGATCATTTCACTGATTTGTACCATTCTCCACTATTGTAGGGACTTAGGTTCTGACCAAACTTGTGAGCAGAGATTTTATTTTATTTTATTTTATTTTATTTTATTTTATTTATTTATTTTTGGTTTTTCTCCAGTACCGGGAACCGAACTCACGACCTTGCGCTTGCCAGGCAGGTGCTTTTGCCATTGAGCTAAATCCCCAGCCCCCGAGCAGAGATTTTAGATTTAGACAGATTTTGGGCTCTAGTACCTACTAATGGGGTGAAAGCTACTTAATCATGATGTGCCTCAGATTCATTATTTATAAAGTGGAAAGAAAGGGAAGAAGGGGCAAGGGCAGTAAAGATGAGGGTGGGATTAGAAAATCATAGGAGTACTGTGTGATTTAAATAATAAAACTTCTCTAAAGCACTTAACACTTCGCCATTTATGTCTCTGGGCTTCAGTATCTTCTTCTGAAGATGCAAGGGGTAATACTTCAGGTTCTTGTGACAATAAAATCAGATGATGGGTATAAAAGTGTGTGTGAAAAAGAAAAAAAAAGTGTGTGTGACCTACAGTGCCTATACCAGTCATGTCTGTGAAGTCTCTCCCATAGAGAAGCTTGCCCAGTCCAACTTGATAGCACAGTCCTAGCTTTAGATCTTACTATGCATTCAAAAGGGATCTTCAAATACCACTACAGACCTGAGTAGAATCATAGACTTTCAGAGTACCATAACAACAACAATCCCCAGAAATTTCTTGGCCTTACCCTGCCGGTCTGTAGGTAAGGATGCTAAAATCCAGCCATGTGAACTTTTCTAAGAACCTAAAACTAATGGCTGCCTTGGAGGGACTAAATCCAAGGTCACCCTGCTCTTAGGCCAGTTCTCTTTCCACTACAGGTCTGTGCTCGGATCACAAACACTGGCCAAGTTGTCTCTGATCACACACATTGGCCAAGGTGCTCTGAACTTGGACATCTTAGGCTTAATGCTCACTGAGAACATAGTCTGAAAAGCAGTGAGCAAAGAATACTGAGAATATAGACCAACTGGCACCACCAGAATGTGAACATTGACTCCTAAATGGTGTGTTTCTTCTGCTCATTTCTGGATGGACCATGTACTTTTGGGAGGGAAAATACCTGTCGTATTCCTTGCATCTGTGTATACTGACATGGTGTGAGTCTGTTGATGGGTGACTGACAGATGATGGAAGGATGAGAATGAAACTGAACATTCTTTATTTGGCAGTGTCTTCAAACTAAATGGTTCCCTTAGATATCTCCAATTGGGATTCTAATTTCTGTGAGCCTCTGTATGTTTGTAGAGTTTTCCTTTTGGTTCAACCAACTGAATGTGGACAAAAGTAAGTTATCTTTCCCTAGAAAGCTCCTCCACCCAAAGTCTCATTGTTACACAACAGGAGGCAGCCTTGGTTCTTCTTCCAGCTTATCCCAACTCACAGCCCACACACACTTGCATTCTCATACACTGCTTCTCTCCAACGTTCCCTCTAATGTCCATCCCTCTGTCGCTCGTGTATTTCAGGCCTTCACAATCTCCTACACAGTACAGTAGTCTCCTCAGTGTTTTTTGTTTCCAGTATTTCTCCCATCTAACTTCCAAATAACCACAAGAGCAATCTACCTAATCAAATAATATAAATAAAACTAATTACGCTATTCTTTCGCTTTGCATTTTGTACTGGAAAAAAATAAAACTAATTATGCTATTCTTTCACTTTGCATTTTGTACTGCATTCAAACTTCTTAGCTAGGTATAAAAATTCCTTCAAAAGCAAGCTCCGTTCTGTCCTTCCTGACTTATGTCCTTTCTATCCTCATTTTATTCCCAAATCCTCACTCCTCTGCCCCCACACAAGACATCAGAAGAAGCCATGCAGAGTAGTTTTCACCCTCTACACATGCCCTGAGATTTCATGATGGCAGATCCTGTCACCTCCTCCTAAAATGTTCTTTCCTCTCTTCTCCACATATGACCTATGGCTCATTGTGTGAGACAATTCCAACATCACATTCTCAGTAGTGTTCCCTGACTCTTATAGCCATGATTCACTCTGCTCTGGCAGCACTTTAGACACACCCACCATTAAGGTTATAATGTGCTCTGATTGTTTACATTCCTATCCTCTACTCTAACAGTGAGTTTCATCAAGGAAAACAAGATGTGTTGTATAAAACTTTGTATCTCAGAAACAGACACCATGCCAATTCATAGGGCACATTTCACCTTTTTGATTGACTATTTCATTCTCACACAATTGTACACACAACCATATGTAGACATATACCTACACATAATATATAATATATATTAAATAATATATATTACATATTATATATATATTGCATTGCAGTTTATGGGTTGTTTCACTATATATTGGCATATGATAATATGTGAAGACTGTATTAAGAGCCACAATAGTGGCAAAGAAATACAAGATGAGATAGATAGATAGACAGATAGATAGATGATAGATATACAGATATATTATCTCTGGAGAAAAGGAAAAGGCATTCCTGTTGGGGAAAGACAGAAGCTACTTAGATAGGTGGAAATAATTAGAAACAGTAATTTAAACTGAAGAAGAAGTGGCTAGATAAATCTAAGCATAAGTGAAACCTTAGGGTAATTTACTAAATTGGTATAAACTGTAAAAGGAGAGCTTGTTATAAAGATATCTGTTAAAATTATAAAAATACAGGTATAAAATATAGATTAAAAATCTTAAGCCAAGTTACAGACTTAAAAAAATATAGAAGTGTAAATGATACAAATAGGAATGGAATGGGTCATATACAAGAAGTAAAGAGACACAGAGATAGCATAACATGAAAAAACACATTCAAAAAAAGAAAAAACACATAAATCTAGAGGTAATTCGTTGAGGACTTGCTGTATCACTGCTATTTGGCTGTAAATTATGTTAATATATATTGACACTCAAACTCTTTAAAACAGCCCTGTGAGGTATACATCATTATCATTATTTTATGTACTGGTTGTTGCTTTGTTAGTTTTTTTAACCTTTAAAATAAAAAATAAAAAACTAAAATAATTTGTTGTAGCTCAGAAGTCTCGATATAACAGCAGCAAGATTCATTGCCAAATTATCAGAAGCTTGTAGAAGTAGATACGCACTGAGATGAAATTACTTTGGATAAAAAACACATTGAACTGCATTCTATGTTCAGTTATTGACCCTTTTCAGATTTGGGGGACTCTGGATTGTCAAACCCTAAAGGAATTTAGTGATGTCTTGTTGATGTCCTGCTCCTGAGAGCTGGGACATAAATATATGTGCTGTGCTACAAAAGATACATGTGCTTCAACAGATTCAAAGAGATTATTCTCACTTTGTATCATTGCACAATCTTCTATCTATTATAGCCTCTCTTTTATGATGATTATAGCCAGAGGTATTGAAACTCATCCCAGAAATTGAGGTTCTATTTATCACCTGAGATATCTTTCAGTCTTTTCAGATAATCCTACTGTCTGGAGACCTCTACCTTCAAACATTGGAAAAGTCAGTGTTTTACTTTGGAAAAAGGGTATCGTTGACTTTTCTTCTCTCAGCCTAAGTTTAATAGGTCAGATGACTATATAAA